ATAGCCAATTTCTTTACAAATTACATTCACATAGAATAATTAAAAAGAGTAAAGTCATTTGCAGTTATGTATTTAATTTAATTACCATCGATGCTTTAGTATTAAAAATGATGAGCAAAACACACCAAAGCCACTGGAGGACTGTTGTGAGAGACTAACAGCAAAACAGCATTGTTATATATTATTTTGTTTTCTTCCCAAAAAAGAGGAATGAAGCACTGGATGCAAAATTAAAAAATAAAAAAGGCAAATTGAAAGTTCAACACTAATTTACGTGAACTAATAAAAAAAATAATCACGAGATCAATCGCTAATAGTTATTTGAATCTACTTTTTTCTTTCTTTTCTCCTGCTTCTCTTTGAAGTGAAGTAGTTGTATTCATTTGATAGTCATTGTGACTCTCTCGGGCAGTATCAAAGCACACACTGACCCTGGTCAGCTGTTCCTGTAAGTGCTCCCTCAGTGATTCGGGGCATTTATGAAGCTGGCCCTTCAGCTCACTGTACGAATCCCTCAGCCTGGCCAGGACATCCCGCTCAGCTGAGACTTTTGCTCTCTCCTACAAAAACATTACACAAGTAACATACACACTGGTAAAATACACACACGGCGAGCCAGTAATGGTGGAGAGGGGTGAAAACAAACAGGAAACTGCTTAGATAAAGACACCATGCTGTGTTAAAACAGAGGTTTAGATATGGGGTTGCCATGGCAATCAGCCCATATTGCAGCAGACTAAATCTGAGCAGAATAAATATTTATACAGCACTCAGTTCTACTCAATACCTCTATTCATAAATAATGTTGTATTATTACTAAATATCTCCATTTAGCCTCAGGATTGACTGTTTTGTGATATCTGTTGCCTTTATGACATTTGCACACATTTCCACACATTTGTTGATGTATGAATTTACTTGTATATTACATTTTTAATTATAAATACATTACATTGACTCATGTTTATATTGCTGTCTAGAACAGATTTCTGTGCGATTTATTGTGAATGTGCAAGATTTACAATTCATTAGTAAACGGTAAAACTACTTGCGCTACAAACCAGCGTGTTTATGATTACGATAAAATTATATAATAACAAATACAAGTTTGAGATATCAAGCAGCATAATGGGCTGTTTTTGTACAGGTAAACTAACCGGAAGAGGATAACGCCAGAAGCCTTGCACATTCAAGTTACAAATGGCCACACCCACTCTTTCATTAAAAATAAGGTGAAAATTGTAGATTTTATTCCAAATAAACTGAATTTTATCGAAAGACTGATACAAAAGTGCCCATTCAAACATGCAATGTAGTCAGTGTCATTTAGATTAATGAAGAGTTAGATGTCAGGCTGTTAGAAATTTGCATGGTAGTAAAGACGCAGCCACAAAGTTTTTCAGGAAAAACAAACAAAAAACAGGGAAGCATGCTTCATAGCTTGTGTTTGTTGTCGGTACCTTCTCTTTCTCCCTCGGAGTTGAATTTTCCACTTCATTCAGTTTCAGCTGAAGTTGATTGATGATC